GTAGGGGTTGGTGGAGATGAGGAGGAGATCTGCAGGTACACAGGGCCCCGCTGGTGGCACCGAGGCAGGGCACCGTGCAAGGAGGAAGCACTCGCCGAGCCGGGCCCAGCGCTGCTGGCACTCACCAATGAGCTCCGGCTTCTTGTTTGACATTATCTGGTAAAAAATGTGATAGCTCCTTTCACTGGCCAGCTGGAAAGTCACTCTGGATTTCTCCAGAAGATCTAGCCAAAAGAGAGATGCCGTTAAGTCTCCTGGTCAGCTTGAGATCATAAATGCACAAGTTCTGCATGCGCTGACTTGCCCTGACTCACAGGTTTCGATGTCAGCAGAGGCCAGCTTGCCAGTTGTTCCAAAGTGAATACGGATGAATTTTCCCTATCAAGCAGCACAGATCAACCCGTTGGTTATAGCGATCAATGAATGAGACGTGTCTTAGATGTCTGCATTTCAACAAATCTAAAGTGAACTCACAAAGCGTGAGGAGTTGTCATTCCTCACAGTCTTGGCATTGCCAAAGGCCTCCAGCAGCGGGTTGGCCTGGATGATCTGATCCTCCAGAGTTCCCTAGTTACAAGACAACAAGCTTCTTATCAAACTTCACTACTGGTTAATAGCAAGTATTACAAAGGAGGTATTACAAACAGATAATTTTTACCCTTCATACATGATTTTAACCTAAAATTTAGCAGAGTTTTTAGACACTCGTCAGCCATCATTCATGATATTGCCATTGGTTTCAAAGGGAAGAGTGCTGAAAGACAGATGTGTATTGTGTTTCCTTCTTGTACCTGCTATCGTATATTTGGTATCATATACAGAGTTATAGAGTTACTACAGTGGAGTTCAGGGAGTTTGAAATCTGTATGAGAGAGGCACTTCCACATTCCTATTCCAAAGGACATGACAGCTACAGAAAATGTGAACATTCTGTGATTTTTTCTGGAGGTTGCTCGAGCCCAGGAAACACAGAGAGAGGTACAGCCTTAGGAAGCACCTAGCAAGGGAGAATGTAACGTTTTTTCCATTGCATTCAAACAGCCAACAGCCTTTCAGAATGTGGAAATACTTCTCCAGACATGCTTCAAAGAGAAGAGTGTGACCTGGACAATGCCTGAGACTCAAATACCAAACTCTCGTTAACTGCAAAAACACGAGAGGAAAGAAGTTTTGAGTCTCTCCTTTTCTGTGCTATACAGTCCAGGAAGCAAAGTGACCACGTGTGCTTTTTTGGAATGGCAGAGCAAAGCTTTTGTCAAGGTTTCCAGCAAAGTCGTGATTGATCCCTACATAGTCATAGCATGAAAATGTTGCCAGGGATAATTTCCAAGACAGAGATAGAAAACAAAGAATGAGAAAAAACAAAACAAAACAAAACAGTTTTTATCCAGATGAAAGATTAGCAGCACAGCTCAAGTTGCTGCATCTTTGTACATGGTGTTTAGTGCAGCCTGTGGCATCTTGCAATGGAGAGGGAGCACCAGGCCCAACCCTGTCTGCAGATGGTAATATGGGTTTATATTAGTTTTTATTATTCCACCATGAAGGTGAATTCTATAAAATTAAGGCAACACAGTAGCATATGAAGCTCTCTATATTTTTTTTAATTAAAAAAATCCCAAATCCCTCTTACATGTATCTTTCTAAATGAACTTCCTTGTTTAAGAGAAGAGATGTGTGTGTTAGTGCAGCTGACTACACCAACACCAAACCTCTTTTTAGTGCACAGCTATGACCAAGGAACTAACAAGGGAGCATCATGCATGGAGAAGAGTGTAGAAGAAGATATGGCAGTTCTTTACACAAGTTCATTCTGGAGTCCTTTCCACAGGCTGGGTGACAAAGCGCTGGAGGCTGAGACAGTATTCTGGGGAAATCCTGTTACATGTTTCCCTTATTCTTATACTCTTGCCTGGCATCTGATTTCATCCTGCATCTGATGCTGGGCTAGACAGAACTATAACCTGAGTGTTTTATTAATGTTCTTATGAAGGGGTACATGCTACTGTTACAGAGATTGTGAATACTAAAAAAATATTCTATGAATAAACTCAGAAGCGGGCAGAACAGGTGTTGTCCATCTGAGAGCCAGCTGATTTTCCTTATATCAAACACTGTCAGTACATCTCTCAGCTGTATCAAAGTTTTTCTTTGAGATCAGTGCTGGCATAGCGAGCAGCTGGTGAAAGCTGATCCCAGGAGATTCTGAAATGTTGCTGATGGAAAGATTGCTTGTGATAAACTTGCCTTGGCCATAACAACCCATCAATCACAGACACCTGTCTGAGTGCGAAAAGACTATTCAGCCTTGGAATCTCCTTAGGTTCTGCTGTGTCCTTGGGTACTCAAATAACATGCTGACACGTGCCACCCACTTTGATGCACATAACATCTCACAGACTGTGTTGACACACACTTGTGCCACAGGGATGTTTGCTGCTTGCTCTGTGCTAGGGAATGAAGCCCACGCCTTGCAAATGCATCAGTGGGCTCAGATTGCAGCAGCTGGGCTGCTCAGCAGAAAAGGGCATCAGAGCATGTGCTTTTTCCCTGGAAGGATCCTTTTTGAGGTTACTTTCTAACTGTCGGGCAAGTGGTCCCAGCTGTCCCAAATCTGTCCCTTTTTTTATGCTACCCCTCAGCACTGTTATGTTGACCACAGGCAGGAGAGCAAGCCAGTGGAAACTACTACCTGATGCAACTGAAATTACTCTTAACATACGGACAGATACATAGACAGTCAGCACATAGGAAACTGCTGTCTTACATTGTCTTCCTGTCCCTGGTGAAGACTTCCCCTGTGTAAATGGAGACTGGAGAGAAACTGAGTCTCGGGCTTTTCCTACATGAAGAAAATGTTTCTTTAAGTAGAGTGCCACTAGTGTTCAGAGAGATGGAAGACAGATAACAGGGATAAATCAGCACATATGTGCTCAGAGTATGCATCCTGGCTGTCTCCTGAGATGCACTACACTTCCTACCTTTTGATAGTTCTGCAGCCCAAAAATATGCATTGATAGTTTCTGCTCTGCAGGCACAGTCTTGGACAAACACTAGAAGGGGCAGCCAATGACATACCTGCATTTTGCCAGGCTGTTGTTCTTTCTTCTTCTCACCAGTAACTGCAATTGTTGCAAAGTACTGGATGACACGCTTTGTGTTCACAGTCTTCCCTGCACCAGATTCTCCACTGTTGAAATGAAAATATTAATTGTTACAGGAAGCAAAAAACATTTTTACTTCTCTGTCAGTTTTGTCACACATACCAAAATATACTCACGTGATAAGGATTGACTGGTTGGTACGATCTGAAAACAAAATCACAGAAAGAGCTGTTCAAATGAGATTTTGGGAGCCTCTCTTCCTCAGACATAACTGACTGACTCCAAGGGCAAGAACTATATTGTAACTGTATTTATCATTTTGTAACCAGGTAAGGTAAATTCTGCATTAGTCTACGTGTGGATTTTTTTATGCACCAAGGGATGGAGCAGCCCAAAATCTAACTTTAAGTGGTGGTTCTTTATAAGGCTTCCCACTTACTATTTGTTTTCTGTTATGTATAGACCTTGGCTTAAATATTGTTTAATCAGAATCGGATTCTTTGATGTGTTCCTTCTATACTGTTTCTCTAAATTCCTTACTAGGAAAGTGGGCACAAAGCCATATACTAAGTTACTGCCTTTCCTTCATTCTCTGACAGCACAGAGGTCTTTAAGATGCCACAGGCAGTTTAATCTTGAGTTGTGACATAGGACTGAGGCTGTTGCCATCAGGAACTGAGTAGAACAGCAGCTAAGATGCCTGAAGTGTTCCTTGATCAAGCAGCCAGCCCTGCATATATCAGAGTTTTCCATTCTTGCCGAATGACTCACCAGTCAGCATGAACTGATAGGCATTGTCAGAGATGGAGAAGATGTGTGGAGGGGCCTCCTGGCGCTTCTTGCCTCGGTAGCCAGCCACCACCTCCGGGTTGTACACTGGCAGCCACTTGTAGGGGTTGACAGTGACACAGAAGAGACCTGAGTACGTCTGCAAGGAAGGGAGACAGCATGTTGGCTTCCACTCAGCCTGGCAGAGCAGATCCTCTTGGCTACCCAAAGGAAGACTGCTGCTGGTACTTACATAGATCATCCAGGCTGCATAACGCTCTTTGAGGTTGTACAGCACAGCGGGTTCATGGAGGTGGGTCATCATGGCCATGTCCTCAATTTTATCAAATTTGGGAGGATTCATGGGAAAAACTTCATCATCCTTTACAGTCACAGTCTGACAAAACCAGAAGGGAACAGCAGGAGAAGAAATCTAAGACAGGGAACTGTCTGAACTGGATGATCATGTATGAATAACAGTTGATAGCACTTACTGTATCATCACATGTTTTAACTGTGACTTTACCACCTTCTCTACTCTGTATGGTACCTTTCACATACATTTGCTTTTCATCCACTACAAAACAGGCTGCCTTAGAGTCAAATGGGCGATTCTGGGCTTCAATTCTCTCCTTCTCAGACTTCCGTAAATATGGAGCAGCTTCTCCAAAGATTGCCATCTCTGCATCTGAACTCATGGCTGGAGTTGCTCTGGAAGAATTCAGAAAAGTCTCAGAGAGCCTGTGCATTTGTAATTTGTAGTTATCCAGAAAGCAGTCATGCTCAATGACTAAAAGCAAGAAGAGGACTCAGTACATCAGGCACTTAACTTCTGCCTCAATTTTTACTATCCACTGAAGAAGCCCAAATAAAGTTCATTCCTTTTATAGATAGAGGTGCTCTGTCTTTGAAGATATCCCCCCTTAAACAGAATGCCTGTGTGCTCAAGTAAGGCCAGAGAGAATATCAAGCTAGAAGTCTTCAAAAGCCTATCCTGCTGTATCATCACCTGTTATTCACACAGCTGCATAGCCACATACTTCTTGAAGCCACATACTCATAGCCTCTTAGATAGATAGTTTCATCAGACATCTGAAAATTTGGACACAAGATCTGTAAGTTAAGAAGATTGGCTCTCACGCATAATTTCTAAGTGGAGTTATTCTTGGCACCCTTCTGTTTTCTATATTTTAATATCAAGCAGGGAAAGTTCAACTAGTTTTTGTTTGTACCAAACACTGGAACAAATTGTGCGGGTAAGTCATCACCTGTCTAAAGCCTGTTTATCGTATGAACCAAATATAAATAAACTTTTTAGATCTGTGTCAAAATTAGCTAATAAGGGAATATAATGTATATTCAAGGTAATAATTAATAGCATAGTATTATCTAGGTAAATAAGTATTTGAGATAACATTTCAAAGAATTTCAATTACAGAGTACCTTTTAGAATTTCAGCTACAGAGTACGTATTATATAGAGTAATATTCGTAATGAATCAATAAAAGACAATTAATGTGTACCAATATATAGCAGTCATTCTATTAGGGATTTGTCTAGTAGAAATTTTTCAGAAAACTGCTTTATGCATAGTTTTATTTTGCACTTTTAGCAATATCTAGTAAAAATTCTTCAACACAAATAGATGCTGTTGGTTGCTATAGTGAGAAGTTCTGATGTGCATAATCCAAGAGCATCTGGATATAACACGGGCAGAAATAATGTAGGCAGGAACTAGCATAAGCAGAATGTTCTTCCCCAGGCAAGCTAGTAGGAAGGAAAGCAGGCTAGGAAATAAAAAAAAAAACAAACCAAAACCCAAAACCTTCTAATTTCCTGCTACTTCATGGGCTGTCTGATGCACCGTGATAAAGGTAAAGGGACAGAATTGAACAACTCAGATTTATACTTCCAGTGCATTACAGTACTGAAACAATCAACATGGAGTGATTTTATGTGCAAGAAAAGGATGAAAGGAGTATGAAGGCATTTGTAATGCTGCTTTTGGACGCATTGCTAGAGAAGTGCTTATCTCTCTCAGCAAAACCTTTCTGCTACAGCATGTGCACCTCGCAGGACTTAGAGGGACTGCATCTTTCAAGAGCCTTTAATACCCAGGCATTTCAAAGCACAGAATACAGAACTTCTAACTTACTTTGAAAGTATCATTCTATGTATATAGAGCCCATCATTTTTGCCTCTGAGTGGCTCAAGGAAAGCAACATGAAAGAAAGAGAGAAATTATTTCACAGTGTCCATGAAAAGGTGAAGCAGAGCATCAGAAAATACCAATAGGTTAAAAGAAAATTTCTCAAGGGGCACAGTTTGTTAAACTACTGAATGTCTTTGATAGCAAATACTGTTAAATTTAGATCTTTATGCATTCATGAACAGAGAATATGGCATTCTCTGGGAGAATAACCTATATTTCCATCCCTTTCATCTCCAATTTCAGTGAGCATTTTTTGGTATTAGGATGGAAGGCACATGTGAGGAGGGTTCCTTCTGTTGCTCTCGTGAACTCTTCCAGTTACTCAATCACTAACCTTCCCCAGAAAGCCTAGAAGGGAATGTGTCTACACTTAGCCCGTATCTGGGAATAAACTCTAGCAGTTGCTTTATCACCTAATGACCCCTCCCAGCTGAGTCAGGGAATTGAGAAAAGGAGAGCAGGCCTGTGGGTTGAAGTGAAAACATTTAATGAAACAAAAGTGTACAAAGTTATACTCAATCCAGTCCAGGGATGGTGACCCTTGAGAGTAGGAGAGGCAAAGCAGGAGAAGGAGAAGCCCCTCTATCTTCAGTGAACTTCCCTCTTTATAATGAGCGTGATGTTTATGGTATGGGATACCCGTTACCCAGCTCAGGTCAGCTGCCCTGGCTGTTGCCCTTCCTAGCTCAAGCACCTGGCTGACTCAGAACTGCTAGTGGCCTGCTTACCATGGCTGGCCTATGATTCTATCCCAGTGAAACCGGGACAGTATGGTGCATATTAAGTTCTCTGTAAAGGTGACTCTTTGTACACAAACAGATCTGTCTTTCAGAGAGGAGACAAGATCATCTTGAAATTTGTTCCAGTTTCAGGACCTGTGTGATAAGCCAACGTCAGCACATAATGTTCTAGATCTTACCCCAGAGGAAACCAACTTAGGGGCAGGATAAGCTTAGACCCTTCTTAAATTGTACTTTGAACCTCCTCTCCAAACACAACCTCGGTTTCAGGCTTCCAGCAGTTGTGCAGGTGGCAAGGGGTGAATTTTAATAATCTAAAAATCCTAAAATCCCAGGTTATACCACAAGAAGACATTACTGTTGCTGACTTTCATGTCCTCTTGGCTAAGCTTGAATATCTATCAATTTTCTTTCCCAATAAATGGAGTATTTCCTACCAAGAATTGTGGAAATGCTCATATTGATTAAAATAGCTTATATCTTTTTCAGTGAAGTTAGTTCTACAACATGGTCTTCTGCCACCTGCCCTTACCATTGTCTGGGTGAGCTTCACTCATTGCTCGGGATGAATTAGAAAAACTACATGCTGTTTTTTAAAATCTTACCTTTGGAGAGCCCAGGAAGAAATCTGCTTTCAGTATCTGTGTGGAATGGTTAAAGAAAGGATAGAGAAAGTTAAATAAAAAACAGTCCATAGTCTTGAGCACATACTCTATCAAACATTTATACACCTTGTGTAGTCTCTCTCAACATCTGAACTGTACACAGAGCCCTACAACTCTTGAGCAAGAGCCAAATCCCACTGAAAATCTTGTGTTCCTATGCACATTACTGTGATCTGCAGAAAATAAATCTAATGTCTAGGAAAAGTTCATCTACTTTACATATATTTTTGCAATCAATTTCAACTGCCTTCAGAGTTAGTTTTCCTGTGCCTTTCCTAGGGCTTGGAGACAGCAAAGTTTGTAGAAGGCCCCTCCATGGCATGGCATGGCTCTTCTTCTTCTGTTTGTACCTCCACAGTGGAGTGGTTTGGGTTGTATAACCTTGACATTGCATGTAAAGCATAACCTGGAATGTTGGAAGTGGAGAATGAGAGGAAAATACCCCTACATATTCAACCTCTTTGCAGAGCCGTGGAGATGCCATGGTCAGAGTATGAAGCAAGCAGATGGGACTTACCGTGAGATGCTGAGGTAACAAAAAATAAGGTTGCCTTCGGCTGTGGCCCTTTATATGTAACCTCCTGCCCACACAGCATTCAAGCGCTCTATTTTTGGTCAATAATAATTTAGTCTTTAGTTGTAAACGTGTTGAAGCTCTGATCTCTCTGCTAATTACTCAGAGACAGGATTGATTTAAGGTTGTATGGAGTCAGCTGCGCTGACCTGTTCTTTTCACATTGCTTTGTGCCAGGATGAAGGATGGAGGAACCCAAAGACAGCTCTGATAATGCCATATAAGGCAATACTTTTCTCCTGACTTCAAGAGCTTGCTTTAACCAACAAGATGATTTTTATTCTAATTATGCACAATTATTTCTTTACAGATGGATACCATCTGGATTTCTTTTTTAACAGATCCCATCCCAAATTCAGTAAAGCAGATTTTTTCTCTTATTAAATTTCTTTATACCATTTTATGGGGTGCTGGCAAGCCTGAAACCAGCCTCAAGCTTGGGACTGAGTAAGACAACTGCCAGCTTATGGACCACAAGATAGACTTTCACTCCTGGCCTGTAGGTTTATAATACCTGAGGCCTGCAGGAATACTCAAGGTATATGTGCTGCTCCTGATGTTCCTCAGGTTCTTCATGCTGGGCACTAAGTAGTTTCCAGTCTGCAGTCTATACTTAAACTAGCCTAATTATTACTGTAGATTATTTTAGGAATCAGTCACAAAGTTTGCTTGTTTTTTATCTCCTCTCTGCCTTAAGTATCAAATCCCAAGTCTTTGTGTGCTTGCCGTTTCAGCAACAGCCTAATCACTCTCTCAAGATCTCTTGCTGGAGGTGCTCATTGGCCTCATCTTTGACTTAGCAGGAATAGCAACAGTGGTAGCTACTAGATATTAGCTCTGAAGGTGGTGGTGAGTAGAAGTAACAGTGTCTTCTAAGTACAGATGTCTAAGTGGTGTTATGTTGACACATAGGGATGAAGATCAGCATTTAATTGGGGGATGGGATGCAATTGAGAGTAATTCCTGTCTGTGGTGGTTTCACCCTCAGATAAGACCATGCAATCTTGCACTCAATCCCCCCACCCAGTGCGATGGGAAGGAAATCAAAACAAAAGGGTCGCGGATTAGTATGAGGACAGGAAAGGTTCATTCACCAGTTATGGTCATGGACAAAACACTCAATTTGGGGAAGAAAAATCAATTTAATTTGTTACCAGTCATTTGAGTAGATAGGAAGACATAACAACCACGCCTTCCCCTCATCCCTCCCTTCTTCCTGGGCTCAAATCACTTTGCTCCTGATTTCTCTACCTTCTGCCCCTGCCAGCAGCGCAGAGGGCAGGGAATGGGGGTTCAGTCAGTTCACCTCTTCTGCTCTTCCTGGTGTGAAAGTCCAGGAATAAGATATTCCAAAGCAACCTTCCCATGGAGTTACAGATCTCTTTGGGCTCAGCTCCCAGCTCCGGCATGGGGACATCCACGGGCTGCAGATGGTCCTCTGGTCCAGTGTACCTCCTCCCCACCCCAGCTCTGGGGGTCCACCCCTGCTCTAGAATTGAGCATCTCT